GCGCAGACGAGGGCAACCACCCCGACGAAGCGCGCGGAATCCCTCTTTCTCGCTCTCTCTCTCTCTCTTTGTCCCTCCGTCCTCTCTCCAGCCCGACTTCTCTCTACCCTCCGCCCTCCGTCCTCCGCCCTCGTCCTTTCGTCCCTTTGCGCGCTGCTCTCCCTTCGGTCTGCCACGAGCGGGGAGAACCTTTCCGAGACGCGGATAATGCACCACCTGCATCGACGCATCTTCGAAAATTTCAAACGTATTTTACTTCTGCCGTTGCCCGTATCTTAATTCCACGTCTTCCGTTGTTTCGAAGCTGCTACCAGGCACGTTGACTTACGTTGCAGACGTACAGATTAATTGCTGGATAGAGAATCTAAAATCAATTCAACATAATTTAATGATAAGAATAATGCAACAGTCAATTCTCGATGTATAGTCCGAAATGTAACATTTTTATTGTATAATACTCTAACGTATACTATTTGAATGTAGGTATCATGTTCTAGTGCAGCTCCATTTGGATTCGTTGTCATTTATCGATTGAATTCTAGAATTATACCCGATATCTCTCGCGCTCGGAATAACCGAATTATATTTCGGAAACGAAGTAAGTTCTGCGAGAAGCAGAGGCGATGTAAAATCGGGAAATATTTCTCGACAGCTCTCTGCGAACATCCGTTCGATACGTTTGTACCAGAAAAATTTCATAATGGCAAAGGGACGCGCCCACTGAAGAGAGTGTCTAAAATCGCAGTTAACGTCGCAGACAGAGACGAAATTGTCTACTGCCGCCGCGAAACTGCAAACTGTTGGCTAGAATTGTTTTTTTTTTTTGGATCCGGTAAATAGCAATTTTCAGTCGAGAGGAGAAGAAAGAGGCCTTGCGCGCGGCTCTGGCTACGTCGGAGTTGATTCGCGCCGTGCGATTTCCACGAGCGAATTCGGAGGGCATGAACCCCCTTCTGCGGCACCACCCCGCGCACACCGGCGGAATATATAATCTCGGGGTCATTGCCCGAACGATCTTTGGGGGTACCACCGTGGTGCCTGCAACGAGGGTGAGAGACGCCTCGGAATACCGGACGCGGATATCGACCACCACTTTCCCCAAAAGACAAAAACGCGAGTCCGTAATGGCGCGCGTCGGTCTCTCCGTCCCGGCGACAACGTATCAACAAATACAAGTGATAACGATTCGGCAGCACGCGGATCGTCTCGATGCGTGCAACGTGCATTCCGAGAGGGTGTTTCTCTTTCACCAAGTACAGGGGGTTAGTTCCAGGGTTGGGAAAGTTACTTTATAAAAGTGTCTAGTTACAGCTACAGTTTGTTTCGCTAAAAATGTAACATAGTTACGGTTACTCAATAAGTAACGAATCGTTACCTTGCAGTGACTCTCTTGAAATAAAAATAAAAATATCAAATCTGCATTTGAATTTTAAAGCACCGACAAAGGCGTTTATGCGTAAATGCAAGACCTAATCACATGCAAGACCGATCACATCAGGTCTTGCATTTGCGCACAGTGGCGTAACTACCACCCGGGAAGCCCTGGCACGGTCTGGGGGCCCCAGCTTAGAAGGGCCCCCTAAATATTCTGGACTGTTACGGTCGAAAGAATTGGTCCCAAGCCCGTATAAGAAAAAAGGAGGGAGTTTTGTGTGAGCTATAGATAGCTTACAGATAGCTAGATCAATGACAAATCTTGACTTAATCTTCTGTTCTATCCGTTTTTGTTGTCAAAAATAGGGGTTTCGTTTCCATTTGAAAATTTCAAGTTGACCTTCTAATGATCCCTAAATTTGACCCCTATATAAAGGGCCCTATTCAATTTTTGCCCGGGGGCCCCCAACATTGTAGTTACGCCACTGTTTGCGCATAAACGTCTTTATTGACGCATTACGATTCGAATGTAGATTTGATATTTTTTATTTTCATTACAAGAAAGCAACTGCAAAGTAACGGTTCGTTACTTTTTGAGTAACGTACCGTAGCTAGTTACATTTTTAGCGAAAAAACTGTAACTGCAACTAGATACTTTTATAAAGTAACTTTGCCAAGCTTGGTGAAAATGCTAAAAGAGCTCCTTCTAACCGTCCCCTTAAAAAGAGACAAGGCCACTTACTTTTAGCATTTTCACTATATTGTAAGATACAGAATTGACCCCAAGGTCTCTCAAATCAAATAATGCGAATCACGAGCATGCGTGATTCGCATTATATTCCAAGTAGGAAGATGACGTTGTACAGTCTCACGTTGACGTCAAAATGATATTTTTAATGACATTTCGACGTCAAAGTGACGGCAAATAACATCAGCTTGCTACTGTGACATTTTGCGAGATGTACCGCGATTAACATCGGATCTACGTCAAGTCGAAAAAAGTCAACGTTATTCGACAATTTTTCGGATTTAAGCATTGGAAATGTAACTCATATTGTGATCCCGCGCCTTAAAAAGGGCGCATACTAATGTAGAATATCGAAAATAGAACATTGTCGATGTAAAAAGATTTAATGTGTTCAGTTGACTCGGAATTGCCCGAAAAGAAATTGCATTACACTGATTTACGCCACCGTGCCGGATAAACGGCGTAAATAGGGCGGAAAATAGCGCGGATAATTAAGATGATTGAATCGCCGATGCCTTCTGCACGCCACCCGATACAACGTCAAACCGTCATACTCCACTGTCGTGTGGTAGGCCAATGCGGTCGCTTTAATGGTATGCAAATTACCAGGTAAATTTCGTGCGCGTGCTTTGTCGAATGGGCGGGCGAGAGAGTGGGGGGGTAGGGGAAATGGACAAAATTGAAAGGGTTCGCCCGGGGATAATTGTTAAAAAACAAACGCGAAACGCGGCCACGCGGCCGCCCCTCTCGGCCCCGCGATTAATTACGCTAATGGAAACATTTTCGCGGCATTCGAGCTGCTGCGACAGTCGTCGATTGATATAATGCGTGCGAGGAGTGTACCGAAGATGTAGGATCATCCAGGGAACGACACTCCGATAGGCTTCGTATTTGTAACTAATTAATGAGCAATAATTAAGCTTACAGTATTCGACCATAACTGGTAACGTGTTGTTAACACAGAAAATTTATTGCGAAAAATATTACCTCAGCCTGGACCTCCCTGGCTGAGGTAATATTTTTCGCAATAAATGTTCTGTGTTAAAAACACGTTGCCAGTTATGGTCGATTATAAGCTTAATTATTGCTAGTCATGTACTGGCGTCAAATAATTCTTGATGTTAATTAATTAACAATCGAAAGGAGAGCTTTGCTCGACAGGTAGAAAGAAATGCATTTTTTGTTTAAATAGCTCAGAGAGAAAGAGAGAGAGATTTTGAAAAAGTTCATCTAGGGGGAGAATTCTCGTGGGGCGTACTCACGAGGTACTCGGATATCACGGCATGCGACATACGAATGCAGATACGTAGAGATACCGGAGCGCCCGGTATCTATTTATAACGGCGACGGATCACAGGGCGATTGACCGCGTGGCCTTGACTTCCGGTTGACCCGGGCTGTTCCCTCCCTCCTTGGGAATTTCGGTATGACTTGCAGGATTTTCGGAAGGGCACCCACTGCTCCCGTCCTTCAATTAGGTGGGCTCGGTAATTCTCAGAAATGGCCCTTTATTAGCAACATCTCCGCGAGGAAGTTTGGATTAGGAGACTGTCTGTCCTTTTCACGCTACGTTGACCCTGTGCAAATGAAGCAAGTATGTACATTGAGGCAGTCCTCTGAAAAAAAAGAGACGGAGGAAGAGTAAACTCGAAAGAAAGAGTGTGGAATCACCTGAAAGAAGAGATTTCGTATCTACGACCTGAACGCGAGAGGATCGCGAAATTCTAGGATTGAAGCGACCGAATTTCGGCGAGCCGATTGATTGGTAGTAGATTAATAAAAAGGTAGAGTAACAGTGAGCGACCTCGAGATTCGAGCCAACGGAAATAAACGAAAAACCTCTGGGTTTACACGCGGCTGCGCCGAGCGCGTTTTCCCGTGTCTATAAAAATTTGAGTTCGCCGGAAACGACGTCGACTTCGATTCCCGTTCACGGGTTTCGTATTCCCTGGTAATAGGGACGGCGCCGACGCACGCCCAATCTGGTCTCGCGCGATTTCGTTATTTACATCAAACGACCCGCCGCGAATGACTCTGTTTAGCTCGTCGCTCCGCAGAACGCTTCCTTTTTCTCCGTCCCGCGTCTTTCTTCCTCCCTTTTTTTCATCGTTTTCTTTTTTCCAATCGCTCGGGAACCTGTTCGCACGAGTGGCAGCAACGGAATGTCCCAAGTGCTGCTCTCATCTCGGGCCGATCGAGCTCCGATCGTTCTACACTACGCAAAGATTTCGTTTAGTTTCAAGCGTTTATCAAATATAGAAGCCTGCAGTTTTCGCTTCCTACAAATCTACGTGGGCCATAATATCACCTTGTTCGTTGTTTTACGATTACATCTCATGAGATCCAATGCGAAAAATCATCAGATCTTCAGGAATTTGACACTTTCCTCGAATGTTCGACGTTGTCTATTGAGATCTGACTAAATCTACAATTAAATTCCTAAGAGAACATAATTAGACCTCAATAGATAATAACACTGAATATTCAACAAAAGTGTCAGGTCTCTGAAGAGCTCTCTGATGATTTTAGAATTGGATACAATGAGATATTTCCATTTTTCCCCGGGATTATTATAAACATTGATATCGACACCGCTATACAAGATCAAGAGACACCAATTATCCGGACTAGCTGGGAAACAGTGACACTCGAGCTGAACGGCAACAGAAAATCCTCTTAGGGTTGACTTAACGCACGTAAGCGGCGGACGCGCAAAGCAGGCGGCTTCTGGTTTCGCGACCGAACTTAAAAACGTACCCGACATTCTCGCGAGGGAGTATTAATTGGAATAAGCGCGGAAGAGAGGCGGGAAGGAGGGAGGGTGCACTCGCAGGAGGAGGCTGATGCCGAGGAACGAAGGCTAACGACCTTGACCGTGATGTGTGGGACTGTGTGCGTTTACGATGACAAGAAAGAGAGGCGGAAGGGGGTGGAGGAGGTGGAGGAGAGCGAGAGGTACGACAGTAAGAGACGCGAGAGAGGAGACATCGGTCAAAACGACGACGGTCTTGCTCTCTCGGCGCGAAGGCGACGGGAACGAACGAATCCGGCGAGATTCGAGATGGACCGGGCCCGATCACTAAGGGCTAGTATCACAAACATCGGCCAACTGCTAACCGAAGGTTAATTGATTCTCTGTCTCTTCTTAAATAATAAGATGGAAAAGGATATGGAGTGGACTGAACCCTAGCTAACAGTTGACCGATGTTTGAGAAACTGGTCCCAAGGGCCAATTTCACAAACGTCGGTTAATTGTTGACCGGAGTTCAGTCGACTCCCAACCTTTTTCTATCTTCTTCTCTAAGGGCCAGTTTCACAAACATCGGTTAACTAAGGTTCAGTCGACTCCCTATCTTTTTCTATCTTGTTCTCTGAGGCCTGGTTTCGCCAACGTCGCTTAACTTTAAGCTTACCTTAATTCGTTCTTTGTCTCTTTCCAAGTGTCACCCTAGAAAGAGACAAGCATGAATTAAACTAAGATTAAAGTCAAACGACGTTTGTGAAACTGGCCCTAAGACGGCAACGACGCCGGGCGTCCTCGATGACGACGAGCCCCCGCGAGTGGCAGACGACCGCGCTGCGACGCCTGCGACACAGCGCGCATGGTGTACCGCTTAGCAGGATAGCGATTCTGGGAAGGGGCAGGGGGAGAGGGAAGGGATTGTCTGGCACGGAGCATCATACAATATACAGGGTGTTTGGCGACGATCTTTTCCCCAAGCGTGGCAGGTTATTCTGAACTGACAAACTCAGGGTGGTTCCACAAACGTCGGTTAACTGTTAGCCAGAGCCGACACCCTATCTTTTTTATCTCGTCATCTAGGAAGAGACGGAGAATCAATTAACCTTTGGCTAGCGGTTACACGACATTTGTGAAACTGGCCCTCGGTAATGTCTAGGAATGACGTTACCAACGTAAATAATAGCGCATTCATTAGACAAGCCTTGCTCTCTGAAAGTCAATCAGTGGATTATCACCAGGGTTGGATAGTGTCTAGCAGTGTCTAGTTAAAAAGATTAAAGTTACGTTAAAAAGTTAAATAATTTTAACTTAACTTAGTTACATAATAGATTGTTAACTTTTAACGTTTACTTTACCTCTCTCTTAGGTCCGGTTTTTCATTTTCTTGTTAACTGAGTTAACTTGGAACGAGATAGCTGGTGTTGAACAGCATAGCCTCAGCTTTGTCTAGTGAAGTAGTGGGGGTAGCAGAAGAGTATTTTTGCCCCATTCCAGATATTAAGAGAGGGTGCTGTTGAAAGCATGTTGTCTCTTTCTAAAGTTTGTACACTTCCGCAGCCAACATGCGCAGTCTACATATTACACGTCTACAATTATTGCTGAAAACAGTAAACAGTGATTTACAGTTATAAATATACATTGCTTTATCTTATATATGTTATCTTATTCATCTTGTTTTATATTTTTTAATCTTTATAATGCCCCGGCAAGGCCTAATGCCCAAAAAATGCCTAGTAAACCCTAGTAATGCCCAGTAATGCCGCAAATCTGCACACCACAATGCCCTCAGTGGTTTCCCCCTCGGTAAATATACTACTGAAAATTGCAATGGTACACACATTGCGACTATTCACCGTTCTCAGTGATAATTCACTGATTGACTTTTAGAGGGTAGTGCGAGCAACCGGATTCCCTATCAGTAGCCCAGGATTAACGCGCGATCCGGATCGTTATCTCCCCGCGACGATTGCGGCATCGATTTACTCGCGTGGCGCTGAGCTCGTCAATGAGACGCGCACGGTGAGTCGGCGAGTCGACGACCGGCAAAGGGCGCGGGGCGTCGCGGCGGTGCGGCGGAGGGATGCTGTCCGCGCCGCGCCGCGCCGCGCCGCGTCGCGTCGCATCGCGTCGCGAGGAAAAGAAGAGAAAACCGCGCGGCAGGGAGGGAGGAAAAATCCAGCCCGCCGACTCCTGACCTCCAGGAGGAGTAGGAGACGTGAGCGAGGTCGTTCTGCGATCGATCGATAAATGCGCTCACGCTCCGCGACCAAGGTGCGAAGGAACTTGGCGTTCCACGGAGCGAAGGAGGGAGCGAGAGGGGGCAGGGGAGGGAGAGGAAGAGAAAGACGGCAGGGTTGGCGGGAGGACGGATAGCGCGAGGGGCGCGTGTATGGAGAGGAGGGAGATCGAGAAGAGGAAACCGCCCCTGTCGTCCGATAAATATCGTTTCGCGCGACGTCGCTAATGTATACAAATTTTTGCCCAATTGGGTTACAATATTATTTATTTACTTACCCGCAATTTACTCCCCCCCGCCCCGAGGCTCCGCGAGTGAGTATACGCGTTCGGAACGACCGACGTTCGCGCTTTTAATCGTCCGCGTTTCGGTGACGAGGCGAACGGCAAACCAATTGATCGCGCTCGAACGTGGCAAAAATACCGCGAGGCGCGAGTCAATTATTTCAACGAGAGTTAGAACGTCGGCGTCTTTTCGCTCCACGATTTTCACATCCAACATGGACTCCCCGTTCCGGAGCGGGACGAGACGCCGCGTTTCTCCCTCGTTTTTCCCCGTTCTTTTCTCACTTTCGCCGAAACAGCGACTCTGTGTCTCATCAGCGGGAAAATGGTCGCGCGCGTTGAAGGTCCGTCCAACGCTCGCGCAGGGGGGGGGAGTTTTTCTCGAGCGAGAGAAAAGAAGCGGCAGTCGGCGCGAGTCTCTACCGGCCGGGTGTGCGAAATCTCAACCGGGGAGAGCACCCCTGCGGAGAGACGGCGAAAGGACCGGAACAATCGATCCTTCGGCCCGCGGAAAGAGAGCGCGAGGGCCGGCGGCTTCTTCCTCTCGCTCTCTCCGTCCCTCCCGCCGCGTCTCGCTTCCTCCCGGCGGCTCGTCCGTTTCAGGTAGCCGGCCGCGAATTCCGGAAACTCCCTAGAGAGGAGCGGACTTGGCGCGCGCGGCCGAGCCTATTGTGTACAAACGAACGCGCGCGCCACGCGAATTATTAAAACAGCCTCGGCCGCGACGATTAGAATCGAGAGTTGAACGAACCCTCGCGGCCGCGGAGGGTCCCGGCCGCGACGTACCGTCGGAGGATCTCCATTTTCTCGCGTTATCACCGGACGGGACGCGTTCATCGATTCGCGCGCTCGAGACGGCAATAATTCACGCGTTTGTCTTTGTATTTTTTATTTTTCCCCTGGCAGACTAAACACGCCGTTCGATCTCTCTCGCTCGGCCACGGTGAATGGAGAAGAGCGGGGGGGGGGGGGGTGCGAGCAGCGTACGCGCCGCCACCCAACCCTCTTCGGCGTTCCTCCTCCTCCTTCTCTCTCTCTCTCTCTCTCGGCTTTCTTCACGTTTTCACTTTATTGCGGGGCTTACTTCGGCGGTACCGAACCTTTAATTAGCAACGAGACGTGCCGTCCGCCCGACATTCTCCCCCGAGCCGCTCGGCTCACCTATGGTACCTAGACGAGGGCATTTCTCCCGCTTCCTCCCCGCTTTTTCGCGGTAGGCACGGACGGCGCTGGGCGCTCTCCTCGTGCCAGAGCGAAAACGATCGGCGTCGGGAGAGAATTCGGCAGGACTCTCCCGCAGCGGCGAGCGTAATGAATGTCCTCCCCCTCCCCGCCCGCCGCCCCGTCCCGCTCGCCAGATCTCGCCCCCTCCAGCCGGCCGCTGCCGCTGCCGCCGCCGCCGCCGCCACCGCCGTCGCGGCGCTCCGCGCACTCGCCAGGGCTGCCAACCGCGGCGCGTCGAATCTCGGCCGCGCCGCCGGCTCGCCCTCGCCCCCGCCCCGCGCCCCGCCTCGTCGCGTAGCGCGCTCACCGGCTCGCGGCGTCCCCGTCGCGCCCCTGGCGGCCGCGCTCGCTCCCTCTCGCTCGCGGCCACGGCCGCGCGCTCGGCGCGGCCGCGCGTGTGTTGGGTGGCGGCAGCGCAGACGGGCGCGGCCGCCGGAGCCCCCGGCGCTCGGTCGCGGGCGAGGGTGGCGCCGCCCGTCGGCGACTACCCTCAGTTTCGGGCAAGATGGGCGCACCTCGCCGGGCAGTAGCTTAGTCTCTACCTACAAGACAACACACACACTAAATGTTTCCTATAGTAACAATTAACCAATTGTACATTAATCTTATTTAAGGGAAACACACGGAGGGGGAGAGAGAAAGAAAGACACTCTACACGCTCCACACGCAAGCTCTATTTTTGTAATAACGTGCCGTAAAATTAAAAAAAAGGTAGTGTGTGTGTGTGTGTGTATGTGTGTGCTCGGGCGCCGCGAGGCAGCAACGCGGTGTAATTTCTACGACCGTTGAGGTAGGAGAGAGCCGCCGGTTTTTCCGTTGTACCGCGAAGAAGGCGGCGGCGGCGGCGGCAGAAGCTGAGGAGGAGGAGGAGGAGGAGGAGGACGACTCAGTGAACGAGGAAGCGACGGCAGAGAGTATCGGGGGAAAAAGGAGCGGCCGTGGTGTGTACGTGTGTGTATATGTATGCGTGCGTGCGTGCTGGTGCGCGTGTGTGCCCCGTGAAGCGACTAGGCCAAGTTAGCCGAGTAGTGCGATTGTCGTAACGGCCGGGACGGGGCCGGGGACGGGGACGGCGACGGCGGCAACGGCAACGTCGACGTCGAGAGCGCGCTCGGCGCGAGGGGGACGCTCCGCGGGTCGCGTTCCCCGCGGGTACGGAGCGACGAGGATCGTCGGCCGCGCGTTCGTGCCGACGACGCCGCCTGCGACGCTCGGCGACAGTGGCGGCCGGGGCGGCTACGGCGGCAACGCGGCGGCAGCGCGCCTGAAACGAGTAAGCGGCCGATAAGCGGCGGCGCGGCGCGGCTCGGTTCTACACTCGCTCGGTGCAGGTTTACGGTCGGTCGCGGGCGCCGTCGAGTCCCTCCGTTTCGCGGCGCGGTGCGGCGCAACGCGGCGTGCGCTCTTTTTCTCTCTCTCTCTCTCTTCATCTCTCTCCGTTTCCCTTCCTCTCTCCGGGGGAAACCCTCGTCGGGTGTGTGCGGTGTGCGTGCATGCGTGGCGCGAGTGCACTCGTTTGTTTCTTCGTCCGTCCGTACGCTCGTTCGTGCGCTCGTTCGTTCGATATACGCGCGTAGAGTAACGAGGGGAAAATCGTCGTCGAGCGACGGGGAAAAGGTACGCGAACGGCGAGAG